GAAATCTCAGCTCTCTGAGCCTGGTAAAGCTGAGGAAATCTCAGCTTTCTGAGCCTGGTAAAGCTGAGGAAAACTCAGCTTTCTGAGCCTGGTAAAGCTAAGGAAAGCTCAGCTTTCTCATCCTACGGAACAAACGATCCTCCGCATCAGGAACAGAAAGATTTTGGGTTTAGGCTTGCTTGGCCGGGCTGATAACCCCAGGAACCCTCGCTGGTCCCCGCAGCCCCTGGAGGACAGCCTGATTGCCTTCAGGACCCGCTCCAAGAGGCCCCTGAAGGACGTTCCCCTGGGGCAGCTGGAGGCCGAGCTGCGCGCGCCCGACATCACCCCCGACATGTACGACCCCAGCACGGCCGACGACGAGGAGTGGAAGAGGTGGCTCCGGGGGCTGATGAACGACGACGTGGACAACGAAGGTACCCGCCACACGTGGAGCTGCTGGGGGCACTGGGGTTGGGGCTTTGTGGTTGTTGAGGTGGTCACCAGAGCTTCCAACCTCGTTTTGGTCTAGCGTGCTTTTTGTACTTTATTACAAAACCCTTAAGTTTACGCTTTAGATCCATTGGTGATCTTGATGTTTTCCTCTTGGGAGCAGAGTGCAGCCCTTCCTGTTGTTTTCAGCATCCAAAAGAGATGAGCCAACCACCCAGAGCAGCAGCAGAAGAGTTTGAGTTTTCCACCTCAGGCAGCTTTCATTCCAGTGTTTTCATCTCCAACATTCAAGCACAAAAAGAATTACAGAAATATTTTCCATGTTTATATCATAGTTGGATGGAGACAATACAAAGCAGCACACTCCATTTTCAAAAGGCTTAAATTTTTCTACATTCTTACAAAACTCACAAGTTTACACTTCACTCATTGGTCAGGAAAAACAAACAAAGGAATATTGGAATAGGTTTCTGTTATTTATCCTTCTTTATTTCTTGATTTCTATGTTGTCAACCTTGATAGGAAATTCTTTCAGGTGTAAACATGGATCCTCTCATCAAACTTCTCTCTGCTCACAGAATTCACAGTAAAACCTCTTCCACAGATTCCTTTTTGGGCTGTGACAGGAGCCCGGTGAGGATGATGCCTCTTGTAGCTGGGACAGTCACAAGAGCAAGCAACACTCCCTGTTCAGTCTGCCTCAAAGCTGGTTTTATTCTAGCATGCTTTTTCTACATTCTTACAAAATTCACAAGTTTACACTTTACTCATTGCTCAGGAAAGACAAAGGAATATTGGAATAGGTTTATCTTATTTATCCTTCTTTATTTCTTGATTTCTGTGTTGTCAACCTTGATAGGAAATTCTTTCAGGTGTAAACATGGATCCTCTCATCAAACTTCTCTCTGCTCAGAGAATTCTCTGTGAAACCTCTTCCACAGGGGTTCTGTGGTTTAACCAGGCCAGGTGCTGGTGTTGCACCTTGGAGGTGGATCCAGGCTGGGGATGAGCCCTAGGAGGACTCAGGAGGTTGCACATGAGCTCAGAACGTTCCCTGAGCCCTGGGGTGATCCCAGGGTAGAAATAGTTCTTTTATTAAAAAAAAAAAAAAAAAACAACAAAATAGGAGCAAGCTCTGGGGCCCAGCATCCTTTTTCTTTTTTTTTTTTTTTCTTTTTTTTGTCTTTTTTCTTTTTCCTATTTTTACTGGCTGCTTACAATTGTGCAAGTTGAATATAAACCAGAAACTGAAATTACACTACTGGACTCTTTCTAAATTTAGCTGACACTCAGAACCCAGTGAGTCAAGGGTGGTGACAGCTCCAAACCTGCTTCTTTGTAGATGAAGCTGATGATGATGATGACCCTGAGTATAATTTCCTGGAAGATCTGGATGAACCAGACACGGAAGATTTCAGGAATGACCGTGCTGTGAGAATCACCAGTGAGTTCCCCAGGAATTCTCCCTCCTGTCTCCTTGTAATTCCTTGGGGAGTGTTTTGTTGCAGGGATTTTTGCAGTGTAGGATATTAAATAAAAGATCTGTATGTTGGTTTAACCAGCTTTTGGCTCTCAGGTGCAGCACAGCCTGAAGAACAATATTTAGGTGACAATAAAACCTGAAATTAGGTGATAATGCATTCTGAAAGCTTCAGGCAGTTCAGACTTGAATGCTTGCCTTGTGATTGAATTTAATTAAATTTCAAAGTTCTCACAGTCTTCAGTTTAGTTTTATAAACATATCACTCTCTGTCTTTGCAAAAAGCCACACTTGCTTTAGGTCTTACTGCAGATTAACATAATTTAAATTTAATCATGAAAATGAGTTTTTTTGTGATATTTTAGAATCCAGACGGCTCAGATTTTTTTGGGCCCAGCATTAAAAAGGGAATTATCAGGGGCCTTTCTTTTTTTGGCCCTCAGTTTGCAGGAGGAGGCTTTCCCTTTGTGAGGGAAATTCCTTAATTGAGCTGATATTATGACAGGATTGCTGAGTGCTTCTTGGAAAAGGCACTTTTTTAAATTTTACTTTTTGATTTTACTTGCAGAAAAGGAAGTGAATGAGCTGATGGAGGAGCTGTTTGAGACAGTAAGTGATGAAGTGAAGAATGGAGCTGTCGGGTGTGACACGGCATCTGGAGGGGTGCTCAGGGCTGGGCGTGTGCCAGGGGCTAGGAAGGAAAGTCTGCAGGGATTTCCTGAAAATCTGCAGGGATTTCCTGAAAATCTGCAGGGATTTCCTGAATTGAAAGTTTGTAGGGATTTCCTGAGGGTCTGCAGGGATTTCCTGAAGATTTGAAGGGTTTTCCTGAGGGTCTGCAGGGATTTCCTGAATTGAAAATTTGTAGGGATTTCCTGAGAGTCTGCAGGGATTTCCTGGAGTGAAGATGTTCAGGGATTTCCTGGAGTGAAGGTCTGCAGGGATTTCCTGAAAATCTGCAGGTATTTCCTGAATTGAAAATTTGTAGGGATTTCCTGAGGGTCTGCAGGGATTTCCTGAAGATTTGAAGGGTTTTCCTGAGGGTCTGCAGGGATTTCCTGAAAATCTGCAGGGATTTCATGAATTGAAAATTTGTAGGGATTTCCTGAAGAGCTGCAGGGATTTCCTGGAGTGAAAATCTGCAGGGATTTCCTGAAAATCTGTAGGGATTTCCTGGAGTGAAGATGTTCAGGGATTTCCTGGAGTGAAGGTCTGCAGGGATTTCCTGAAAATCTGCAGGGATTTCCTGAATTGAAAATTTGTAGGGATTTCCTGAGGGTCTGCAGGGATTTCCTTGAGTGAAGATGTTCAGGGATTTCCTGGAGTGAAGGTCTGCAGGGAATTCCTGAAAATCTGCAGGGATTTCGTAGAGTGAAGGTCTGTGAAGTGAGGGTCTGCAGGGATTTCCTGGAGTGAAAATCTGCAGGGATTTCCTGAAGAGCTGCAGGGATTTCCTGGAGTGAAGGGCTGCAGGGATTTCCTGAAAATCTGCAGGGATTTCCTGGAGTGAAGATCTTCAGGGATTTCCTGAAGGGAAGATCTGCAGCGATTTCCTGAGGGTCTGCAGGGATTTCGTGAAAATCTGCAGGGATTTAATGAATTGAAAATCTGTAGGGATTTCCTGAGGGTCTGCAGGGATTTCCTGGAGTGAAGATCTTCAGGGATTTCCTGAATTCCTGAAGATTTGAAGGGTTTTCCTGAGGGTCTGTAAGGATTTCCTGAAGATCTGCAGGGATTTCCTGGAGTGAAGGTCTGTGAAGTGAGGGTCTGCAGGAATTTCCTGAAGTGAAAATCTGCAGGGATTTCCTGGAGTGAAAATCTGCAGGGATTTCCTGAAGATCTGTAGGGATTTCCTGGACTGAAGATATGTAGGAATTTCCTGGAGGGAGGATCTGCAGGGATTTCCTGAAGATCTGTAGGGATTTCCTGAAGTGAAGGTCTGCAGGGATTTCTTGGAGTGAAGACCTGTAGGGATTTCCTGAAGATCTTCAGGGATTCCCTCAAGTGAGGATCTTTTCTGAGAAGGTCATCCTGAGTTTAATTAGCCAAAGGTAAATATTTTCCTTGATCTTTCTCCTCCTGACTTGCTCCATGTCTGCTGCCAGTTCCAGGATGAGATGGGCTTCTCCAACGTGAAAGATGAAAGGCCAGAGGATGAAGATGCTGTTACAGAGTCTCGGCCAAATTTTAACACCCCCCAGGCCCTCAGGTAGGAGCATTTGTTTGTGTTCTGATTTCTTACGAGGAAAAGCCTCTTGTTACCTCTAGAAAAATTGTCCTGGCAGCTCAGTCCACTGTTCTGAAAGCTCTGAGCCATTTTTCTTCATGGGATTGGACAATTCAATTGATCCTTTTTATTCTGTTTGCCACCACTGACTTTATTGCTCGTAATTTGAAAATCTGAAAATTAAAAACAATGAAAAAAGTGACAGAAAGAGCAAGAGTGGCTGCACTAAGGTCGGTGCTGTTCTTCATTTCAGCTGAAAACACAGATGTGGGAATGTGCCCCAGCAAGGCAGGAGGATCTGCAGGGGGGAATTCTGTTCCTGCTTCTCCAAACTCTGTGCTCGATAATCATGGAATAGTTTGGGTTGGAAGGGAACTTAAAACTCCTCCAATTCCACCCCTGCCACGGCAGGGACACCTTCCACTGTCCCAGGCTGCTCCAAGCTCTGTCCAGCCTGGCCTTGGGCACTGCCAGGGCAGCCACACCTGTGCCAGGGGCATCCCCACCCTCACAGGGAACAATTTTGTCCCAAAAATCTAATCTAAATCTCTCATTTCTAATTTAAAACGTGTAAAATTGTTACTGGCCCAGCTGGGGTGGTTCTCCCAGGATCTGCTGTGTGTGGGATCAAAGCTCTGCAGGACCTGAGCAAAGATTGTCCCGAGCTCAGTGGCAGCCCCTCCTCGCTCTGCTGCTGGCTGGAGTGATGCAACATCACAGCAGAAAAAGAATAATTCACTTTCCCTTTTTATTTTTGCAAGGTTCCCTTGCTGCCCTGACATTGTTGGGATGGCAGGAGATGCTTGAGGAGCTGTTTTATCCAAGTGTGTCACCTTCTCTTTTAATGAAACAGCTGGGATGTTGTGTTGGCCCTTTCTAAGGAAAATAACTGCCTGGGAGTGAGATGTCTGGGAAATTTGGGTTCTGGGTTGTCATTTTTGGGGTTGAAGAGGAGAGGGACTGAAGCAGCTCCATCCCTGAAGCGTCCAAGGGCAGGCTGGACAGTTTGGAGCACGCTGGGCTGGTGGAATGAGATGAATCCCAAGGTTCCTCCAACCCAAAGCATGCCACGATTCTGTGATTTCTCTCCAGGTAATAATTCCAGTGTGTTGCAGCAGCTCCAGGCTCTGGCTCAAGAGGAGCTGCAGCATCAGTGGTGTCTCCTTGTTTATGGGGCAGATCAGCTCAAGGTCGAGCTGGGTCTGTTTGGGAAAGGAGCTAAAGTGAAGGCTGGAGGTTCTGGATGCTCTCCCTGGGCTGAGCAGTGCCAGAGGGGAGTGCAGCAGCTCTGAAACCAGCTACAAACTGAAATCCAGGCAGCTTTATCTTCTTATTTGTATGCATTTGGCTTTGATAATGGGTGCTTTGATTGATTTTTTAATTTGGTGGGCACTTCTCCCAGTTGTTTTTCCCTTGGTTTTATCTGTTTTGACGCCTTAGGTTTTAGATTGATATTTTTCAGGTTCACTTTTTGCTTTAGTGTGTGGGTTTGAGCTTCATATTTTGGGAAGGTGAGCTCTCTTCACAGAGCAGGGAGACAAAACAATTCCTGCTCTTTCTTTGGATCATTTGTCCTTATCCCCAAAACCAAAGACAAATGATCCAAATCTCAGCCCAAGAGCCCAAACAACGTGGGCTGGAGAGAGAAAAACAAGCAGGATGGGGCTTAATAACCTAAAGCTGTAATTGTATAATTAACTCCAATATGGAAATGGAGCAGAGCTTCTAAAAGTGACAGACCCCATGACCAGTTGTCCATTTTTGTGACCATTTTGGTTCATTTTGGGTGCAGCCCTGGCTGGGCTCTTGTGCTGCCCAAGGTGGATCCATTGAGGACTTTTAATAAATCTCTGTTTTATTCTTTAGCTCTGTCTGGTCTCTGTTCTAGGTCAGCTTTCCCAAGGCATCAGTTTACAGGATTTTTTAAGTCAAAGATCTCTATTTGCTGGATTTATTGTTGTTTTTATGATACCTTGCATTAGGAGCATCATGGAGCAATTCTATAACTCACCTCAGGCCTTGTATAGAAGGGAAGCTGATCAGAAATCAGGGGATTAGTTGGTACAGCTAAAATAAATAAAATAAAATAATAAATAATAATGAAATAATTAACTCCTTCTCTACAGGAGCAGCTCTTACTGTAGGATTTCTGGTAGAGTTCTCAGCATAAAGCTGGGTGATAATTAACTTTTTAATAGAGTAGCAAGATTTGAGGTTGTGTGTGTGGTCTTTCTGGAGACCTTCCAGATGTTAAAATGCCATTTTATAATACCTCAGATAAGACCTTGGTGATGGTAAAAATTAAAGATTTGGGTGATGCATTCTGGATTCCTGAGTGCTGGGGACAGATCTGAACACGTGAGTGGGGCACAGATATTTGGGAGAGGTGGAAAAGGCTTTTAAGTGTCCTTAAAAACACTGCGTCCCAAAATTACAGCAGTGCTGGGGTGCTCTAAAAGACTTTTCTGTGTAAATAACTCGGGTTTTACAAGCTGAGTAGCAGAGGGATGGCAAAACCCAACTGTGCAAGCCAGAGGGTAAAATAAATAAATAAAAGCATTTATTAAATCACAGGTTTGAGGAGCCTCTGGCCAATTTGCTGAACAAGCAGCACCAGACAGTGAAGGAGCAGCTGGAGCAGCTGAGAATGAAAAAATCCTCAATCAAAGCACCCCAAGAAGCTGAAAAATGCAGAGCCACAAATGAGAAACCTCTCCACAGCCTGGTTCTGGACAGTGCCCAGAGGAAGAGGCTGCAGCAGCAAATGCAGCAGGTGATCAGTGCTGGGGGGTGCTGATCTGTGCCAGGACACAGCAGGGAATTCAGGAAAAAAGGGAATTCCTGCAGGGAATTCAGTGGGAAAAATTCCTTCTGAATTGGAGCTTTTGTAGGTGATGCTCACATGGCATCTGTTCTCATGGGGAGGTGTTTTATTCTGTAAAAATCCTGTATTCTGTAAAAATCCGATTTTCAACAATTCAGTTTCACCTATTTTCTTTATTTCTTGTGCCTTTGGACTTGTGATTTCCAGGTCCTTGGATTTGTGATAAACTGAAAAAAAAAACAACCCCAATTTGTGTGATTTTATTCCTCCAGCATGTTCAGCTCCTGACTCAAATCCATTGGAATTCATTAGAAAAAATTCCTTGTGAATTGGAGCTTTCTTAGGTGATGCTCACATGGCATCTGTTCTCATGGGAGGTGTTTTATTCTGTAAAAATCCGATTTTCACCAATTCAATTTCACCTATTTTCTTTATTGCTGTCTAAGGATATTATTCTTCTTCATCTGGCTCGAATTCTTTTCTTTTTTCCTCCTGCCACCACACAAAACCCTGTAGAAATTCAGAAATGGGCAGTTCTGAGAGCTGAAATCATTGTTGCTAAATACGTGTTTATGTAGGGGAAAAAAAAATAAAATTCTCTGTTGGTCATGATGAGAATTTGGCAGAAAACTGGGAAATTGCCCAAAGGCTTCAACAGCTGATTTCTTCAAAATTTGTGTAATTTCTGCCAGTGGATATTAAATATTTCCCCTCAGTTTTCTATTGCTTTTAAGTTTTTTTTGCAGTCAGATTCTCGCTGTGCTTTTGTGCCTTTGGACTTGTGTTTGCATTTGTGATAAACTGGAAAAAAAAACCCAAAAAAGCCAATTTGTCTGATTTTATTCTTCCAGCATGTTCAGCTCCTGACTCAAATCCATCTCCTGGCAAGTTTCAACCCTGCTCTAAGTTCAGAGGCCAGCACCACCCAGATGTTTTTGGTGAGGAATGCCTGAAATCAGAGATCCATCCATTCAAAAGCTTGCTGGCATGCTTAAAAAGATTAATTTATTAATTTCATGTATTAATTTTATCAAATAATCTATTGTTTTAATTTATTAATTTATTGCTTACTTTTAATTTATTAATTTTTGTTTGTTTGATTGATTTATTTACTTAGAAAGGCGAATTATTTTATTTTATTTATGCTGTTAAACTGAGAACTCAGGTTCTGGAAAGGGTGGCAATTGATAAAAAAAATAAAAGTCATGGAATGCCAGAATGGTTTGGGTGGGGAAGGACCTTAAAGCTCACTGAGTTGCACCTGAGTGGAGCACCAGGGACACCTTCCCCTGTCCCAGGCTGCTCCAAGCCTTGGACACTGCCAGGGATGGGACATCCACAATTTTCTGATTTCCCTCCCATCAAATCCTCTATCCCAGCCTTCGTCATGCCCCAAATTAAGGTTTATAAGCTGATTTTTGTTTGTTTTTTGCACGGAGTGTTTTGTTCCCTGCCAGAGGAGCCTCTCTGTGACGCGTCTCTGTTTTCTCTTCGCAGAGCGAGCTCGGGAGCTTTGCCTGCAGCTCCACCCTGCACCAGGTGCCCCAAAACCCCAAATTCCAGACCATGTTCCAGCCCTGCAACTTGCAGGGGGCCCTGCAGCTCATCAAGGACTTCCACGCCCAGGTGCCAGTGGACTGGAGCCCTCGGAAAGCTGTGAAAAAAAATGGTAACTGCTGGATTACACCTTTTTTCTGACTCATTTCGGACAACTGAGAGGTGTTCTAAAAAACTTTTGTTCTGTTTTCACTCTCGCCTGAAGGGTGAGACAATACAGATGTTAGAATTCATGCAATTACAATCAGAAGCTAATGATTTTTTAATTACAATACACTCTTAAGTGTTTTCTTTGCCCATCAGCTTTAGCCACACCAATTTTCTACAAATCCATTTGCCACAGGGACAGGGTGGAGAAAACATTGGCGGGGAGAATTATTCCATATTTTAAGGGGCTCGTGTCTCTCCCTGGGGCTCAGAATCTTTAAAGAACATTACAGAGCAAAAGAAAAGATGGAAGAGGAAAAGAATTTTACCTTTTGCTGGTGTAAACTTGTGGGGGGGAAGCTAGGAAATGTGCAAACATTAAAAACAGAAAGGAAGTTTTTATTTTTGCAGTGAAAGGAGTAAAAGAAACACACACACACACAACTCTCATTTCCTGTTAATTCTTTCCACAGCAAACGAATTCTCATGTTTGCCAAAGCAAGTGGCCTGGATTTTGGCAACCAGGAAAGTTTTTATGTACCCAGAGCTGCTGCCAATTTGTTCCTTGAGAGCAAACCCTCACCGAGACAAGATCGTCTTCACCAAGGCAGAGGACAAGTAGGTGCTTGAATTATTGTCCAAAATGGGCGGAAAAAAGAGAATTTCTGGGGTGCCACATCCCAGCAGCTCCCTGAGAGGTTTCTTATCTCCTCCCCTCCCTGTTTTCCCTCTCCAGCTTGTTGGCTTTGGGGCTGAAACATTTTGAAGGGACGGAGTTCCCCAAGCCTTTGATCAGCAAATATCTCCTGCCCACCAAAACTGCCCATCAGCTGACAGTGAGGATCAAGAACCTCAGCATGAACCGAGCCCCTGACAACATCATCATGGTAAGGGGCACCTCCGAGGACAGAAATTAAGAAATAGCTGTTCTTTAATTTAAAAAAAAAAAAAAAAAAAGTCATTCTTCTGTGAGCAGTGAGGATTTCTCCTTTTCTTTTACTTTAGCCACAGGACTTGGCAAATATTTAGGTACTATTAGGACTATTTAGAGCCCACTGGTAAAACTCAGTGATGCTGATGAAAAATTCATACAAATGAGCTTTTGAGCAGGAAAACTTAAATAAAAATGTTGTTAGCAGCCAGCTGGGCAGTAACCCTGTCCCTTTTGGGACCAAAACCACACAAAACAACACCTGCACAGCTGCCTGAACCTCTGTGAGAGCAGCCAGGATGGCACCGAGCTCCTGTTCAACCTTGATTATCGATTTTGAATGTTCCTGTGGGTAGAACCTTATTAAAAATGGCTTTATTCACATGAACACTTGGAGAGATCCCAGCAGGTGACCTGAGTTTGTGTGGCTTGGCTGTCCCCACAGTACTACAAAAAGACGAAGCAGCTGCCTGTGCTGGTGAAGTGCTGTGAGGAAATCCAGCCCCACGAGTGGAAAGCTCCTGTGGAGAGGGAAGAGCATCGCCTGCCCTTCTGGTTAAAGGTATTTATTTTCTGCTGCTCTGCACCCAGGCCTGCCGGGGAGTTGTTGTTTGGTTCATTTCTTGTGGGTTTTCCTTGTGGGATTTTTCTTGGAGATCATTCCCGTCAGTCAGTCAGGGAGGACTGTGCCCAAGGGAAGAGCTGGGCTCATAAAATCCAGTTTTCTTGATCATCCCCTGTTACACAGGGAAATTTCCTTCCCACAAAATCTTGTGTTTACTAAAGCAACCTTTATAAAGCAAAAAAAAAAAAACAACCTTTATTTTTTTCTCTTGGATTCTCCTAAAAGCTTTGCAGTGCAACTCGTGAATTTAAAGTGCTGTTAAGTAACATGCAGGAAGGATTATAAAGGAAATTAAGGAATTATAAAGGAAATAAAACCTGCTTGTAGAAGAAGGTCTGCTGCCTTCTGTGCTGCTGTGTGAAGGGGGGAATACAGGAGCAGATAAATAATAAATTCCAGTGAATTCTTGCTCCCTTTAGGCAAGCTTGCCCTCCATCCAGAGAGAGCTGAAGCAGCTGGCAGAAAGTGCCAAGGAGACACCAGCTTCACCCGAAGGAGAATCTGCCCTTTTGGGGCCAGAAAAGGAAGCTTCAAACACGGAATGTGGTGACAAATACCCTCTGCTGATGCCCAAGGGGCTGGTGCTGACCCTGAAACCTTTGGCCAACCGCTTCTCCAGGAGGGCCTGGAGGCGGCAGAGATCCTCAGCTCTGAAGCCCGTCCTGATCCGCCCCAGCCCCTGCCTGCAGCCCAGCTCCAGCCCCCTCAGCGTGCAGAAAACTCCAAAATTGTCCCAGTCGGAGGCTCCCCCCAGCAAGGTCCTGCGCCAGGTGCCGCGGCCCATCCAGCCGGCGCCGCTCGTGCCGGGGGCGCAGCCCCCGAACGTTCCGGCCGTGCTGGGAGGGGGGGATGGCTTGGAATTCCAGAAGGTGCCTTCCAGTGGCCATCCGAACCCCAGGCAAAGCTTCCCAGCTGCCGTGGCCCCGGCCCTGGTGTCCTCAGAAGCTCTGCAGCCCAAGCTGATGCTGCCGGCCTTGGCGGGGGCGAAGCCGCGCAAGCCCTGCGCGCGCAAGGGCTACCAGAGGAAAAAAGGGGCGAGATCCACGCCGCCGATCAAACCCTCCCCTCTGATCCAGCCCTCCCCCGTCATCCTGACCGTCCCTGCCGCCACGGTGAAGGTGGTGAACATCGGCAACGGCTGCAACGTGCTGCAGCCCCTGGGCGCGGCGGTGGGCCGCGGCGCTCGCGCCATCCCCGTCACCACCCTGCTGGTGAATCCGTCCACCTTCCCCTTGAGCCAGCCCCTGGTGACCTCCTCCATCCCGTCGCTGATCGTCTCTCCCGGCGCCGTGGGTCTGGCCGCTCCTGCCGCGGGGGAAGGCGAGGAGAAGCTGACCCTGCTCCCTGCTCCCGCGGCCGAGCCCAAGGCGGAGCCCCCGGAGCTCTTGGTGCCCTGCCCCGGCCTTGTCCCCAAGGAGGAGGGTGGCACAGGCGCCGCCCGCGGGGACGCTCAGGACCAGGGCAGCAAAGCCGAGTGCTGCAGCTGGCCGGGGGCAGAGGGAGATGGGCACACGCCCCAGCCCACGGCGGAGCTCTCGCCTGCCTTACAAGCTCCCGATCCGTCATCGGAAATCAAACCCGAAGATTTAAGCGGCGCTCCCAAAGAAGCGAAGCCGGCGCCGAGAAAGGATTTTCCGTGCGCCGAAAGGAAGGAGGAGTTCATGCTGGGCCTCGGGCAGGAGCTGACCATGGAGGCGGCGTGCTGCCAAGAGCCCCAGAAGGAGAAGGGAGAGGAGGAACGCCGCGCCGTGCCGTCCCCGGCCCGGGGCGGCGGAGACTCCCCGAAATCCCCGGGCTGCCCCGCCGAGGGGGACGCAGAGCTCGGCAGCCCCCCGGGCCGGCCCGAGGACGCGTCCAGCGTGGACGGGCAGTCGGCGGGGACGCCGGCCGGCCCCGAGGCCGCCGGGGACAGGGAAGGGCAGGAGGAGGAGGAGGAGGACGAGTTCGATGACTTCACGCAGGACGAGGACGAGGAGATGTCCTCGGCCTCCGAGGAGTCCGTGCTGTCCGTGCCGGAGCTGCAGGTGAAGGGGCAGCGGGAAAACCGCGGGAAAAGGCAACGGCGCCTGGCGTGAAACACCCCGAGGGGTCGGGAATCCCCCTGGGAATCCCCCTGGGAATTTTTGGGAATCCCACTGGGAATCCACTGGGAACCCCCCTGAGAATCCCCCTGGGAATCCCACTAGGAATTTTTGGGAATCCCACTGGGAATCCACTGGGAACCCCCCTGAGAATCCCCCTGGGAATCCCACTGGGAAGTTTTGGGGATCCCACTGGGAGTCTCTTCCACTGGGAATCCCACTGGGAATCCACTGAGAATCCCCCTGGGAATCCCACTAGGAATTTTTGGGAATCCCACTGGGAGTCTCTTCCACTGGGAATCCCACTGGGAATTTTTGGGAATCCCCGCTGGGAATTTTTGGGAATCCCACTGGGAATTCCATTGGGAATCCCCCTAGGAATCAACTGGGAATCCCCCTAGGAATCAACTGGGAATCCCCCTGGGAATCCACTGGGAACCCCCCTGGGAATCCCTCAGGGAATTTTTGGGAATCCCCCTGGGAATCCCACTGGGAAGCTCCCTGAGAACCACCCTAGGAATCCACTGGGAATCCCACTGGGAATTTTTGGGAATCCCTTGTGAATCCCACTGGGAATTTTTGGGAATCCCCCTGGGAATCCACTGGGAATTTTTGGGAATCCCTCTGGGAATTTTTGGGAATCTCCCTGGGATTCTCCCTGGGAATCCCACTGGGAATCCCCCAGATTTTTTGGGAATCCCCCTGGGAATTTTTGGGAATCCCCCCTGGGAATTTGCTGGTCGCAGAGAAATTTCCCATCCCATTTTCCTGGGCAGGTTTGGAGCCCAGGCTGAGGGAATTCATTGCAGAAATTCAGATTTTAGCTCTGCTGAGCTGCCAGGACTCCTCACTGAGGCTGCTCTGCGAGAAATACTTCAATTAAAAATTGAATTTTTTAATTTTCCAGGTCACAATTCCAGCAGGGTTTTTAAGAGCCTAGATGATCATTAAGAAATAATTTTAAAAAGATTCCTTAACGAAGCCCTAATCTGCTGAATGACAAATGCTGAAATTCAATTTTACAACTTTTAGGCAGCTCTGGAGGGGTTTAAATTTTGTCCCTTAACAAAATTAATTGTCTTTAATTGGGCAGGTGCTGATCTATGAAATTGGATGCAGCGAGGAAATTGCTGAGCGACATTAAACCAAACATAAATAAAATATCGAGCCGAGCAAGGAAAATAAAATAAAATAAATGGGATTTATTTTGCTGTTTTCTAAGGAGACAATGGAAAAACTGACTTGGCTTGCCACAGAGCGACGTTTAAGCCAAGAAGGAGATTCTGAAGAGGAGAATTCCCAGGAGGAGAACTCGGAGCCGGAGGAGGAGGAGGAGGAGGAAGGGGAAGGAGTGGAGAATTCCCAGAAGGACGACGAGACCTGCGGGGATGCAGCAGAGGAGCCCAAATCTGCCTCAAGCGCGGCCACGGCGGCTGCCTGCCCGCAGCTGCAAACCCAGGGCGTGCCAGCAGGTGAAATTTTGGGGAATTCCATTTTTATTGGGTGCCAGCAGGTGAATTTTTATGGTATTTCATTTTTATTGGGTGCCAGCAGGTGAATTCTTGGGGTATTTCATTTTTATTGGGTGCCAGCAGGTGAATTCTTGGGGAATTTCATTTTTATTGGGTGCCAGCAGGTGAATTTTTATAGTATTTAATTTTTATTGGGTGCCAGCAGGTGAATTTTTGGGGAATTTCATTTTTACTGGGTGCCAGCAGGTGAATTCTCTAGAGTTTTTATTTTTAATTCTTTAGGGTTTTTATTTTTATTGGGTGCCAGCAGGTGAATTCTTGGGGAATTCCATTTTTATTGGGTGCCAGCAGGTGAATTTTTATAGTATTTAATTTTTATTGGGTGCCAGCAGGTGAATTTTTATGGTATTTAATTTTTATTGGGTGCCAGCAGGTGAATTTTTGGGGAATTTCATTTTTATTGGGTGCCAGCAGGTGAATTTTTGGGGAATTTCATTTTTATTGGGTGCCAGCAGGTGAATTTTTGGGGAATTTCATTTTTATTGGGTGCCAGCAGGTGAATTCTTGGGGAATTTCATTTTTATTGGGTGCCAGCAGGTGAATTTTTGGGGTATTTAATTTTTTTTGGGTGCCAGCAGGTGAATTTTTTACCGTTTTTATTTTTATTGGAGGCCAGCAGGTGAATTCTTTAAGGTTTCTAATTTTTTTTTGGGTGTCAGCAGGTGAATTCTTTAGTGTATTTAATTTTTATTGGATGCCAGCAGGTGAATTTTTGGGGTATTTAATTTTTTTTTTATGCCAGCAGGTGAATTTTTTAGGGTATTTAATTTTTTTGGGGTGTCAGCAGGTGAATTTTTTAAGGTTTTTATTTTTAATTCTTTAAGGTTTTTATTTCTTTGGATGCCAGCAGGTGAATTCTTTAGGGTTTTCATTTTTAATTCTTTAAATTTTTTAATTTTTTTTTTATGCCTTCAGGTGAATTCTGTAGGGGTTTTTATTTTTAATTCTGGGACCTCAGCCCGTTAAATCAACAAAATTCCTAAACCTAAAGCCACAAAAAAATCACAAAAAACCCCAAAAATCTGGATGTAACCCCTCTTTAATTCCCTGTTGTGTGACACCAGCTGTTTATCTATGATTTAATGTGAATAATTAACAAAAATTAGAGTTCACAGCCAGCTCGGTCTGTTTTTCTGCCCTGGCGTGCAGGATTTTTTACCTCCGGAAAAATCTGGCATCAACTTGTGGCCGCATCCCGAGATTTTTTTGGGGTTTTTTTTCACTTAGACGCTGTTGAAACAAGCAACAAAATTAAGATTTCATGCAGCTGGACTGGTGGGAATTGCCTTTCTCCTCCACTTCCAGGCAGCGCGGACGGAAACTCCTCGCCGATCCTGTCGGAATTTCACCTCTGTATATTTTGGGTGTATTTTGCCCTGATTTCTGTTGGGATGTTGCCCTGGCTCAGCTCCTGGGGTGGTGTGGGAACTCAAAATGTCTCTCAGACATTTTTAGTGGTTCCAGGCCTTGGTCAGAAGCATTTTAGACCCTGGCAGGCAGCTGGAAACAGCTGAGATTGTGAGTTTGAGCCATGGGATGAGTTACCAACTTTGGAGGTGGAACAAGCAGTCACAAAGGGTTAGATAGTATGGTAAAAGTAATTACAAAGTAGAGAGGATAATTTTTTTAGTATTGTACAGGGAGGTTTTAGCACATGTACAGGAGGATTTTCACTTTGTACATGGGGGTCAGGAGTTCTAAGATGGAGGAAAGTGGGCTGACCCTGTTCTTCCTCCTTCTTCTTCCTCACCTCCATGTTCTTGGTGATGTTGGCACTCACAGATTGGTTTAGAGTAGAAAAACACTTGGCAACGTAGGTAGTAGGTATTGGAGAATAATTGTAAACATGTTTTATGTAATATATCTTATAAAAGAGAGCAGCAGCCCTGGGTGAGGGGAAGAGAAGACAGCAGATAGAGAGGATGTCAGGGTGTGTGTGCCTCTACCCAGGCCGCTGATCAAACAGCCGCAGTCCAAGAACATAATCTGTTAGATAACTAGCGATAAACTGCCTTGAGACCGAACAGCTAAAGCCTGCGGAGTTTTTCTTTGGAAGCACGGGTGGGAGGAGGAATTTCACCACCACATGAGACCCCTAAGCAAGGCTGGGGATCTCACAGGGTGGTTTTTGACCATTTTGTGCTTCTCCACAGGAGAGATCCTGAAAGTCCCCGGGAAGGGCAGGAGCTCGCACAGGACCAGGAGCAGGCGGGGCCGGGCTCGCGGCAGCAAGGACACGTCCAAGCTGCTGCTCCTCTACGACGAGGACATCCTGGACAGGGACCCCCTGAGGGAGCAGAAGGACCTGGCCTTCGCCCGGGCGTACCTCAGCAGGGTGAGGCACCTGCAAAATGGGAGATTTTGGGGATTTCTGGCACGGGGCTGAGCCACGGAGCTCACGGGCGTGGATGGGCGGCAGCGGAATTCTCGATCGCCTTCGCTTCCCAAAGTGTCCCTTGGAGGAGAGCAGCTCTTCCTCAGGCTCGAAGTTCTCTTCTGGGATTTCTCTTCTGAATTTCCTCCTGGTCTGGCTGGGGTGGAGTTAATTTCTATATTCCACGTGTGGTGCTTCACTTCCCAAAGTGTCCCTTGGAGGAGAGCAGCTCCTCCTCTTCCTCAGGCTCAGAGTTCTCTTCTGGGAATTCTGAATTTCCTTCTGTGTGTGCCTGGGGTGGAGTTAATTTCTATATTCCACATGTGGTGCTTCACTTCCCAAAGTGTTTCTTTCTTGAGGTGAAAATCAGGAGAGCAGCTCCTCTTCTTCTTCCTCAGGCTCAGAGTTCTCTTCTGGGAATTCTCTTCAGAATTTCCTTCTTGGTTTAAATGTCTCTCTGCTGCAAGCCAAGTCAGTTTTTCCATTGTCTCCTTAAGAAACAACAACAAAAAATTCCCATTCATTTTTTATTTATTTTCTTGCTCGCCTTAATACTTTATAATTTTATTTTCTTGTTTGGTTTAATATCACTCAGCAGCTTCCTCACTGCATCCAACAGGCAATTTCACAGATCAGCACCTGCCCAAGCAAGGGACTCTGCTGAGGAGCAGAATTCAAACCCCTCCAGAGCTGCCCAAAATCGTACCCTGCAGGGTGAAATTCCAGCAGATTCCTGCTGATTTCCCATTTTTCCTCCTCCTCCCTCGCATGTCCTGAGTGGGGGGGCTGGAAGTGAAGGAGCCAGGGGCTGGGGGTGCACAGCAGCAGAAATTCCTGAATTTCTGACCTGCAGCGAGCAGCTTTGGTTTGTCTTTGGGAAGAGACTTCAGCAGAACCTCGAGTGCTGCGTAAATTCGGGGTAGAGGAGATGAAAAATGACTAAATTAAAAGAATCTGGGGAGGAATTCCTCCCTGAGGGGGGCGAGGCCCTGGAATTGGGTGCCCAGAGAAGCCGTGGCTGCTCTGGAAGTGTCCAAGGCCAGGATCCGATCCAGTCTGATCCAGTCCGGTCTGATCCGATTAAACCTGATCCAATCCAGTCCAGTCTAATCCAGTCCGGTCTAATCTGATCCGATTAAACCTGATCCAATCCAATCCAGTCCAATCCAGTCCGGTCTAATCTGATCCGATTAAACCTGATCCAATCCAATCCAGTCCAGTCCAATTCAGTCCGGTCCAGGCCAATGCAACCCAATCCAATCCAACCCAACCCAACCCAACCCAACCCAATCCAATCCAACCCAACCCAATCCAACCCAACCCAACCCAATCCAATCCAATCCAATCCAATCCAATCCAACCCAACCCAATCCAACCCAACCCAATCCAATCCAATCCAATCCAACCCAATCCAGTCCGATCCGATCCAACCCAATCCAATCCAATCCAGTCCAATCCAATCCAATCCAATCCAATCCAATCCAATCCAACCCAACCCAATCCAACCCAACCCAATCCAATCCAATCCAATCCAATCCAATCCAATCCAATCCAATCCAATCCAACCCAATCCAACCCAACCCAATCCAATCCAACCCAATCCAACCCAACCCAATCCAATCCAACCCAATCCAACCCAACCCAATCCAACCCAATCCAACCCAATCCAATCCAATCCAACCCAATCCAGTCCGATCCAATCCAGTCCAATCCAATCCGACCTGACCCGACCCGATCTGATCCAATCCAGTCCAACCCAACCCAACCCAATCCAACCCAACCCAACCCAGTCCAATCCAATCCAACCCAATCCAATCCAATCCAATCCAATCCAATCCAATCCAACCCAATCCAACCCAACCCAATCCAACCCAATCCAATCCAATCCAATCCAACCCAACCCAATCCAATCCAATCCAATCCAATCCAACCCAACCCAACCCAATCCAATCCAATCCAATCCAATCCAATCCAATCCAATCCAATCCAATCCAATCCAATCCAGTCCAACCCACCTGGGGCTGGACTCTCAGAGAGGGTCATGAGTTGTGGGGAGTTAGAGTCACAAAAAGTGGTTATGTAGTTTTAGTATCCTTCTTTTCTATAATATATATAAATAATATAATATAAAAGAATAAAGCAATAGAAAATAATAGAAAATATAATATAATAATAAATAATAATATAAATAATAGAAAATATAATAATAAATAAGATACAATAAAAATAATATAATAGAAGATAATATAAAATATAATATAATAATAATAATAATAATATAAAATAATATAAATAACAATATAAAATATAATATAATAATACATAATATTAAGATAATGTTTTTCCCCCCTGGATGTTTGGTTTTCCCCCCTGGATGTTTGGTTTTCCCCCTGGATGTTTTCCCCCCTGGATGTTTCCCCCCTGGATGTTTTGTCCCCATGGATGTTTTTCCCCCTGGATGTTTTCCCCCTGGATGTTTTACCCCCCTGGATGATGTTTCTCCCCCCTGGATGTTTTGTCCCCATGGATGTTTGTTTTCCCCCCTGGATGTTTTCCCCCTGGATGATGTTTTTTCCCCCTGGATGATGTTTTCCCCCTGGATATTTTCCCCCTGGATGATGTTTTTCCCCCTGGATGATGTTTTTCCCCCCTGGATGTTTTCCCCCCTGGATGTTTTTCCCCCCTGGATGTTTTCCCCCTGGATGTTTTCCCCCTGGATGATGTTTTTCCCCCTGGATCTCACCAAGGCCGGGTGTCCCCCCAGGTGCGTGAGACCCTGCAGCACATCCCGGGCAAGTACGAGGATTTCCTGCGCGATGTTTTTTCCCCCTGGATGATGATTTTCCCCCTGGATGTTTTCCCCCTGGATGATGTTTTCCCCCCTGGATGATGTTTTTTCCCCCTGGATGATGATTTTCTCCCTGGATGATGTTTTTTCCCCCTGGATGTTTTCCCCCTGGATGTTTTCCCCCTGGATGATGTTTTTCCCCCTGGATCTCACCAAGGCCGGGTGTCCCCCCAGGTGCGTGAGACCCTGCAGCACATCCCGGGCAAGTACGAGGATTTCCTGCGCGTCATCTACGAGTTCGAGGTGGGCACGGACAGACGGACGGCCGTGGACCTCTACTGCACCCTGCAGCAGCTGCTGCACGACTGGCCGCAGCTGCTGACCGACTTTGCTGCATTTCTTTTGCCAGAGCAAGCTCTGGAGTGTGGGCTGGTAAGGTGGAGCGAGGGCAGGAGGTGGGATTTTAAGTAGGATTTAAATTTAAATTTAAATTTAAAGGATGAAGAGGGAAGGATGAAGAGGGAAGGATAAAGAGGGAAGGATGAAGAGGGAAGGATGGAAGAAGGAAGGATAAAGAGGGAAGGATGAAGAGGGAAGGATGGAAGAAGGAAGGATAAAGAGGGAAGGATGGAAGAGGGAAGGATGAAGAGGGAAGGATGAAGAGGGAAGGATGGAAGAAGGAAGGATGAAGAGGGAAGGATGGAAGAAGGAAGGATAAAGAGGGAAGGATGAAGAGGGAAGGATGAAAAGGGAAGGATGGAAGAAGGAAGGATGAAGAGGGAAGGATGGAAGAGGGAAGGATGAAAAGGGAAGGATGGAAGAGGGAAAGATGAAGAGGGAAGGATGGAAGAGGGAAGGATGAAAAGGGAAGGATGAAGAGGGAAGAATGAAGAGTGAAGGATGAAGAGTTCTCTTTACTTTGCCCAGGCAGACTATTCAGACATTTGACTTCCTTGCCTTGCTACTTTCATTAATCAGGATTAATAAAATGAATCAGGAAGTTTGGTGTTTGTAAATCTGCTGTCGAGGATCAGCCCTGCCCCACTCGACTGCACAGACAGCAAATACAGCAGAGTGGTTCCCCTGTCTCCAAATCTGCCTCCCACTTTGCAGGATAGAGTTTCACCTGTTCCATTCTTTCTGGATTTCCTTCTCTTTTTGTGCAAAGACAGGGAAGTGCAGAAAGAATGGATTTGTAGCTCATGTAAAGCCATACATTATTTAAATGTGGTGTTTCATTATACAAAGCGATTTTTCTCTTCCCAGTTTTGTGAAGTGCAACAATACAATGGAAAACAAAGACCACGAGAAGGAATTTTCTTTGTTCAGGTCAATTCCAGGAATATGTGCTTGACCACGAGGGTGAATCTTTTTTTCTTTTCTGGCCAGTTTGAGGAACAGCAAGCCTTCGAAAAGAGCCGCAAGTTCCTCAGGCAGCTGGAGATCTGCTTTGCTGAAAATCCTGCCCACCACCAAAAAATCATCAAAGTGCTGCAGAGCTGTGCAGATTGTCTGCCCCAGGAGATCGCAGAGGTAGGCAGGGAGCTGGGAGCTTTTCCTCCCTGTCCCTGTCCTGGAGACCACGGGAGCTGGCCCAGCACATTCCTGGGGTTACAGCTGAAATTCCTGAGTCACAAAATTATCTGGGTCTTTTGGGGTTACAGCTCAAATTTAGGGAGTCACAAAATGATTTGGGCTTTTTGGGGTTACAGCTCAAAAGTTCATGGAGTCACGGAATGATTGGGGCTTTTTTTGGGGTTACAGCAAATTTATATAAAGAGTCACAAAATGATTTGGGCCCTTTGGGGTTACAGCTGAAATTCCTGAGTCACAAAATTATCTGGGTCTTTTGGGGTTACAGCTCAAATTTAGGGAGTCACAAAATGATTTGGGCTTTTTGGGGTTACAGCTCAAAAGTTCATGGAGTCACGGAATGATTGGGGCTTTTTTTGGGGTTACAGCTCGAATTTATAGAGTCACAAAATCATTTGGGCTTTTTGGGGTTACAGCTCAGATTCATAGAGTTACAAAATTATTTGCACCCTTTTGGGGTTACAGCATGAATTTATGGAATCACAAAATTATTTGGGCTTACACCTCAAATTCATGGAGTCACAAAATGTGTTGGGCCTTTTGGGGTTACAGCTCAGATTCCTGGAGTCACAAAATTATTTGGGCTTTTTTGGGGTTGCAGCTCAAATTCATGGAGTCACAGAATGATTTGGGCCTTTTGGGGTTACAGCTTGAATTTATGGGGTCACAAAATTATTTGGGCGTTTTGGGGTTACAGCTCACATTCCTGGAATCACAAAATTATTTGGGCTTATACCTCAAATTCATGGAGTCACAAAATTATTTGGGCCTTTTGGGGTTAGAGCGCAAATTTAGGGAGTCACAAAATTATTTGGGCCTTTTGGGGGTTACAGCTCAATTTCACGGAGTCACAAAATCATTTGGGCCCTTTTGGGGTTACAGATCAAATTTATAGAGTCACAAAATGATTTGGGCTTTTTGGGGTTACAGCTCAAAAATTTATGGAGTCAGAGAATGATTTGGGCTTTTTTTGAGGTTACAGCTCAAAAATTCATGGAGTCACAAAATGATTTGGGCCCTTTGGGGTTACATCTCAGATTCCTGGAATCACAAAATTATTTGGGCTTACACCTCAAGTTCATGGAGTCACAAAATGATTTAGGTCTTTTGGGGGTTACACAAATTCCTGGAGTCACAAAACTATTTGGGCTTTTTTTTGGGGGGTTACAGCCCGAATTTCCTGGAGTCACAAAACGCTTTGGGCCTGTGGGGAATTCTGGAGGAATGATCTGACAGCTGGGTGGGGAAGGACCTCAGAACTTCCACGTTGTTCCCACCCCAGCCCCCCGTCCATGCTGGAGAACCTTCAGGGGACAGCGAGAGGAGCTGGAATGAAACCCTGCATTTTTATTTCCTTTTTTTTTTCCCCTCTGGATTTTTCCCAGCTGAAAACCCAAATGTGGCAGCTGTTGAAGGGACACGACCACCTGCAGGATGAGTTCTCAGTTTTCTTCGACCACCTGCGGCCCTCAGCCAGCCGCATGGGAGACTTTGAGGAGATCAACTGGACAGAAGAGAAGGAATACGAGGTGCAGCAACCTTTTCCCCAAAACCAGAAATTACAAAAACAGAGATAAAAAAACATTTTTGACCTGCAAGAACTCAAATTAGAGGGCACAGTTCCATTATTTTTTTTTTTTTAATTTTTTTTTTTGGTTGCCAGCAGGTGAATTCTTTAGGGGTTTTATTTTATTTTATTTTATTTTTTATTTTTGTTTTCTGGTGGGGGGAAACCAAAATTTGGGTGAGCTGAGAGCAGCTGCTGTGTGCTTGTTCTGCTGTAGTTCGATGGGTTTGAAGAGGTGTCTCTGCCAGAGGTGGAAGAGGAGGATGAGCCACCCAAAATCCACGGAGCCACCAGGAACAAGAGGAGGAAGGAGATGGGAGGCCAGCAGCACGACAAGGTGGGCCTGGGGCATCTCCGTGTTATTTTTCACCTCTGAGCAAATTAAATTTGTATTAAATTGGGATTAAATTGGGCCTGGGGCATCTCCGTGTTATTTTTCACCTCTGAGCAATTTAAATTGGGATTAAATTGGGCCTGGGGCGTCTCTGTGTTATTTTTCACCTCTGAGCAAATTAAATTTGTATTAAATTGGGATTAAATTGGGCCTGGGGCATCTCCTGGCATTTTTCACCTCTGAGCAATTTAAATTGGGATTGAATTGGGATTGAATTGGGATTGAATTGGGATTGAATTGGGATTGAATTGGGATTGAATTGGGATTGAATTGGGATTGAATTGGGATTGAATGATTGAGGATGTGGCAGCACCTGGCAGAGGTGGAAGGAAGGGGACGGGGATGTCCCCGCTGTGCTTTGCTTGCCAGCGTCACTTCAGTGCTCTGCCTGTTCCTGTCTGTCTGTCCGTCTGTCTGTCTGTCAGCTGGGGTTGTGTCTGTCTGTCTGTCAGATGGGGTTGTGTCTGTCCGTCTGTCAGTTGGGCTTTGGTCTGCCTGTCCGTCTGTCTGTCTGCCAGCTGGAGCCTGTCTGTCTGTCTGTTGGGGTTATGTCTGCCTGTCTGTCTGTCAGTTGGGGTTTGGTCAGTCTGTCTGTCTGTCTCTCTGTTGGGGTTCTGTCTGTGTCTGTCTGTTGGGCTTTGGTCAGTCTGTCCGTCTGTCCGTGTGCTGGAGCCCGTCTGTCTCTCTGTTGGGGTTCTGTCTGTCTGTCTGTCCGTCACTTGGGCTTTGGTCAGTCCGTCCGTCTGTCCGTGTGCTGGAGGCCGTCTGTCTCTGTGTTGGGGTTCTGTCTGTCCGTCGCTTGGGCTTTGGTCAGTCCGTCCGTCTGTCAGCTGGAGCCCGTCTGTCTGTCTGTTGGGGTTCTGTCTGTCCGTCTGTCTGTCGCTTGGGCTTTGGTCAGTCCGTCTGTCTGTCTGTTGGGGTTCTGTCTGTCTGTCTGTCCGTCGCTTGGGCTTTGGTCAGTCTGTCCGTCTGTCTGTTGGGGTTCTGTCTGTCCGTCGCTTGGGCTTTGGTCAGTCCGTCTGTCTGTCTGTTGGGGTTCTGTCTGTCTGTCTGTCCATCACTTGGGCTTTGGTCAGTCCGTCCGTCTGCTGGAGCCTGTCTGTCTCTGTGTTGGGGTTCTGTCTGTCCGTCTGTCCGTCGCTTGGGCTTTGGTCAGTCCGTCCGTCTGTCCGCCCGCAGGAGGCCGAGTGGGCGGAAGGGCTGCGGGAGTGCTCCGGCTCCGGCTCCGGCTCCCGCCCCTGCCCCGAGGGCGGCGAGCTGAGGCTCAAGAGGAGCAAGAGGAGGAGCTGCAGCCACTGCGGGAGCAAGGTCAGGGGCGGGCCCCTGCTCCCGAAACTGGGGGATCCATCCCGAAACTGGGGGGAATCCATCCTGAAACTGGGGGGAATCCATCCTGAAATTGGGGGGAATCCATCCTGAAATTGGGGGGATCCATCCCGAAACTGGGGAGAGGGAATCCATCCCGAAACTGGGGGGATCCATCCCGAAATTGGGGGGAATCCATCCCGAAACTGGGGGGAATCCATCCTGAAATTGGGGAGGGAATCCATCCTGAAATTGGGGGGATCCATCCTGAAACTGGGGAGGGGATCCATCCCGAAACTGGGGAGGGAATCCATCCCGAAACTGGGGGGATCCATCCCGAAATTGGGGGGAATCCATCCCGAAACTGGGGGGAATCCATCCTGAAATTGGGGGGAATCCATCCTGAAATTGGGGGAATCCATCCCGAAACTGGGGGATCCATCCCGAAACTGGGGGGAATCCATCCTGAAATTGGGGGGAATCCATCCTGAAATTGGGGGGAATCCATCCTGAAATTGGGGGAATCCATCCCGAAACTGGGGGGAATCCATCCCAAAACTGGGGGGAATCCATCCTGAAATTGGGGGGAATCCATCCTGAAATTGGGGGAATCCATCCCGAAACTGGGGAGAGGGAATCCATCCCGAAACTGGGGGGAATCCATCCCGAAACTGGGCAGGGAATCCATCCTGAAATTGGGGGGATCCATCCCGAAACTGGGGAGGGGATCCATCCCGAAACTGGGGAGGGAATCCATCCTGAAATTGGGGGAATCCATCCCGAAACTGGGGAGGGGATCCATCCCGAAACTGGGGGGGATCCATCCTGAAACTGGGGGGATCCATCCCGAAACTGGGGAGAGGTAATCCATCCCGAAACTGGGGGGATCCATCCCGAAACTGGGGGGATCCATCCCGAAACTGGGGAGGGAATCCATCCCGAAATTGGGGAGAGGAGGGAATCCATCCCGAAATTGGGCAGGGGATCCATCCCGAAATTGGGGAGGGAATCCATCCCGAAACTGGGGAGAGGGAATCCATCCTGAAATTGGGGACAGGGAATCCATCCCAAAAACTGGAGAGGGAATCCATCCCGAAACCGGGGAGGGAATCCATCCCGAAATTGGGGGGATCCATCCCGAAACTGGGGGGATCCATCCTGAAACTGGGGGGAATCCATCCTGAAATTGGGGGGATCCATCCTGAAACTGGGGAGAGGTAATCCATCCCGAAACTGGGGGGATCCATCCCGAAACTGGGGAGGGAATCCATCCCGAAACTGGGGAGAGGGAATCCATCCTGAAATTGGGGACAGGGAATCCATCCCAAAAACTGGAGAGGGAATCCATCCCGAAACCGGGGAGAGGAGGGAATCCATCCCGAAATTGGGGATATAATATAATATAATATAATATAATATAATATAATATAATATAATATAATATAATATAATATAATATAATATAATATAATATAATATAATTAATATATGTATTATATGGTATATTATATCATGGTATATTATATCGTGGTCTATCATGGTATAATATATTGTATTATATTGTAATAATATATTGTATTATATTGTAATAATACAATAATATATATTAATATATCAGTACATTAATATACTAATATATTAATATAGTAGAATATATTATATATTTATAAACATTAGTATGGAATAACAAAATAATAATCTATATTACATTGTAGTATATTATAGTATATTATGGCATATTATAGTATGTTATATTATGGTATATTATAGTGTGTTATATTATGGTATATTATATTACATTAATTATGTTTATTAAATTATATTCATTATAGTATGGTATAGTATGGTATATTATAGTATATTAGAATATATTATAGTATATCATAGTATATTATAGTATACTGTAATAATATATTAATATATATAATGTATTAATATGCTAATATAGTAATACATTAATATATTACAGTATATTATACATATTCAGATAAATTACTATATTTATATAATAATAACAATAACAGAAAATAATAATGAATAATACCACCAGCAGCACACTTTCTAAAGCCAGCCCAGCGCCCAAGCGCAGCCCTGGCAGGGCCGGGAGCGGATCCAGGGGCGGATCCAGGGGCGGATCCAGGGGCACATCCAGGGGCACATCCAGGAGCACATCCAGGGGCGGATCCAGGGGCAATCCAGGGGCGGATCCAGGGGCACATCCAGGGGCACATCCAGGGGCACATCCAGGGGCACATCCAGGGGCGGATCCAGGGGCAATCCAGGGGCGGATCCAGGGGCACATCCAGGGGCGGATCCAGGGGCACATCCAGGGGCACATCCAGGGGCACATCCAGGGGCACATCCAGGGGCACATCCAGGGGCACGCGGGCGCGTGACGCTGCCCGGGGTCGCTTTGCAGGTGTGCGAGAACAAACTCCACAAGAGCAGGGACGGCCCCGAGCCGCCTGCCGGCCTCGCCCAGCCCGAGGGGAAGGAGCCCGGCACCTCCCGGGGGGCCGGAGAGGAAATCGCGGAGGGAGAGGACAGAGCGAAAGCCGCCCCGAGCAGGGGGGAGCCTCCGTCCCCAGGTGGGTGCAGACCAAAAGCAGAACGGTTTGGAAAGGCGTGGGCAGAGCTTCGGCCACTTGTCACGCACGTTTATTACCATGAGAGCTTCTAATTGCTGTCTTCTCACTTTTTATTCCTTCCTCTCTGGATGCTCTAAACCCGCCGAGCGTTCCCTTCAACAAAACCTTTCCTGCCTGGAGAATGTTCTGCCCTTTTCACAAAGATCCTCTTGCCAGGATGCTGCTCCATCCCCAGCCCATGGAACTGGTTTTTTCCCAGTTTCCATTTTAGCACAGCAGTTCAGAACCCCCACCTCCCTAATCTTTAAAACAACCTTTAAACAACCTCTGTGCTGCTTGTTCTTCCTCCACTCTGCTCTAGACAAGGAAAAACACAATTTTGGCAGGAAAAACAACCTGAGGGAGATTTCTCCCTCCTCCTGGAGCCAGGGCTCAGCTCGTGCTGGGGACAGCACAGAGTTAAACACAGGAGCTGAAATCTGCTCCCAAGCCTGGCTTTGTAACCTGGCTGCCCAGAGCAGCTGCGGCTGTTCCACTGGGAGCTTTTTAAAAAACCTTCAATCACTTCACGCAGCAGTTGGTTGTAGCAACCCACAGGGGTGAAGAAAATTGGCTGCAGATTGTCTTCTTTGAAGTACAGGTGGGTGAAACTCAGGTGGGAGCCACAAAGTGTTCGACAAGCAGCATGAAGCTCTGTAAATAAAAATATCTTTGAAAGTCAGGGAACGAAGCCTCCAGGGGTTTCTTCTCTGACCTTGTCTGGGTTTCTCAGCAGGATCTCACCTGGAAGGAAGGGTGGCCTCCAGCAGACCTGCATCTTGTGAGAAAGCTGCCCCAGCTGATGCCCAGCTTCCAGAAGCATCCGTGGCCGCTGCCGGGGACAGGGACTCTGCTGCCACTGGCCCCCGATGGGCACAGCTGCAAGAAGCTGCTCTGGAACCACCTCAGGAGCCCCAGGAGTGCCCCTGCAGCGAGGGACTGCAGCAGCCTGCAGGGAATGCAGAGGCTCCCCCGGGGCTGGGCAGGGACCTGCTGCTCTCTGCTGCAGCAAAAGCCTCCCTGGGAGCTCCACGCTGCTGCCAGAGCCCCCGTCAGACCCAGGGGCTCCATCCTGCTGCAGAGCAGCCCAGGGGCTCTGCTCTTGGCCCGGGAGGTGGCAAAGAGCTCGAGGGAGCATCTTTGGCCCTGGAAGGAAGAGCAGGAGCAAAGCAGGGCTGGATCTCCAAGAGCAGCAGAGCAGCGGCGGGCGGGAGCTGCAGCTCGGGGCCCCCCGCTCGCCGCAGCTCAGAGATGCAGGACAGAGGCTGCACTGGAGCTGCTCCCGAGGGCGGCCCAAGGGCCAGTGCATGCTTGGTGGTGCATCAGCACCCAGCTGAGCAGCTGGAGCCCAGAGCCTCGCCGGGGCAGAGGGAGGAGGAGCAGCAGCAGCAGAGGGTGACCGAGGCCACCGTGTGTGCCAAGAACAGCAAAGTCAGCTCCACTGGGGAGAAGGTTGTGCTCTGGACCAGGTACTTCTGCCTGAGCTCCTCGTTCTGTGTGCCCTGCTTGGCTCCAGCTCTGACAGGGTTCATTGGTTTTCATTTTGGATCCTGATTTTCCGACCCTTTTCTTTGGACGTTGCTCAGTCCATCAGTTTGGCCTCGTGAGCAGCTCCTGGCAGGGCTGCTACTGCAGCACTTCAGACAGGGAAAAGAAAACTTGAAACTTTCTCAAAAAAACCTTTAAACCCCCTTCAAAAAACCTCAAACCAGGCTAAAGGAGTTCTGCTTAGAGAAGGGTTCTTTAAACCTTCAAATAACTTCAAACCAGGCTGAAGGAGCTGTGCTCAGAGAAGGGTCCTGGGGTTGGGGGTGGCAGGAAGGAGGGATTGCTGAGCTGGGAACAGGGCTGGGGGTTTTTTTGGGCTGCTTTCACGGGGTTTTGTTCTGCAGGGAGGCTGACAGAGTCATCCTCACCACCTGCCAGGAGAAGGGAGCTCACCTGGACACCTTCCACGCCATCTCCCAAAAATTGGGCAACAAGACAGCCAGTGAGGTGAGGGCTGCTGTGGGAGAGGGGCTGGGAAGGTGGGAGGTGCTGTCCTACCAGTCTCCCAAACTTCAATTTGATGAAAAAAAATCATCTTGCAAATAAAAACAAAAAAATCCAAACAAAACCAAACTTTGCTCTGGTTTAGTGGTGCCAAAAATCCCTTCTGACAGGGTCACCATTGAGATTTGGTACTGGAGTTGTTTCTGTAGCTGCTACTCAGGTTTTCAGCCTCCTGCTTCTGAGAAAAGGATCTGCTTTTGTCTCTGGGCCCTCCCAAACTGCCAGATTTTACCTGGAGAGTGTAACTTTCTTCCAGAGCAATCAACCACCCAGTGCTCTTCCATTCCTCTTCTTTATGCCTGGCTCCTGTTTGAAATGCCATCATGGTATCGAGACAGAGTGAAAATTTAACGGGGTAGAAATCCATGTGGGTTTAGGTGAAATGTGCCACTTCAAGCTTGCAAAATGTGCTGTTCAGTCTGGTGACTGCAGCCCTAGTAGAACTACCCCAGCTAAGGAGAAAAAATGCAGATTTCCACACTAAAAGATAAGAGATAAGGAAGATAAGACTTTAAAACAGACAGGGCAGAGTGACCCAGGAGTCCTTTCTGTACTTTCTAACAAAAAATTATAAAATTACGATTTTTTTGTTTGTTTTTTGTTTTTGTGTTTTTTTTTTTTTCACACAGCCCCCTGAGCTGTGAAATAGGAAATTCCAATTCCATGACAGCTCTCCCCCCTGGATTTCCCTTTTCTCCAGGTGTCCCACAGGTTCAGGGAGCTGATGAGGCTGTTCCACACGTCCTGTGATGGCAGCTCTGAGGATGAGGAGGATGCCACCAGCACCAGCAACACAGACCAGCTGTCAGACAAAGATCTTCTGCTTTCTGAGGAAGAACCTGATGACTGAGGTGACAAACTACTGACTGCACCAGAAAAGGGTTTTTTTTTGGGTTTTTTTTTAATTTTTTGGGTTTTTTTTTTTGCCAGTTTGCTGCTAGACAGGTGCTGTGGAAAAAACATTTGCACAGGTACTTGAATCAGCACCTTCATTTATTTTGTTCCGTTTCCAGCCTGTACCAAACCAAAGGCAGGAAATAAAATTCTCCAGAACCTCCCTGGGGAGCTTCAGCAGTGAAATTACAGAATTTGTGGACGCTGGCCTGGCCTTGGGGTGAAGGTTGGCCCAGCAGCCTCTGCCCAGGACCTGTAAATATTGTCAGTTTTCATGTGGAACAAACACATGACTTCTTCTAAGCTCTCCCCTCGTGCTGATTGTACGTGAGACAATTCCAGTCTGAATTCTCTATTTATTGTGTGGGTTTTATTTGAACAGGCGGAGCAAATCCACTTTGCACAGTCGAAAAAACCCAACCAAAATACATATAAAACCAGCTCCCCAAAAAACCAACACAACTGTGAGCCCCAGAAGTAAGATTTTTTTTTTGGTAAAATGAGGAGAAAGCAGCGGCTGGACCATCTCCAAAACCATTCCCAGGAAATAAAGCCGGATTAATCTGAATCCGCTTCATCCTCGGATCCATCTGCTCCAAATCCTGTCTCGTAGCACTGCGCCAGGCTTTTCATCTCCTCCAGGGCCTCCTGGAAGTCGTCGTGCTCCAGCCCGGCCGCGCAGGAGCTGCTGCAGCGCCGCGCCCGCAGCTCCCGGCACAGCCCCCGCAGCAGCCGGGCCAGCCCCGGGCAGCTCTGCAGGGCTGCCAGCACGGGGATGCTCCCCACACCTGCAGGGTGACAGGCACAGCAGGGGTTAAACAGCCCCGAAATCCCGGCTCGCAGCCCGTGCTCCGTGCTGCTCCACCGGCACTCGGATCGCTCCGGCTTCGCCACTCGGCGCGCTGGGTCGGTGTATTGGGAATCATTCTTGGTTTGTTATCAACAGTTTTGGTTCGTTATCAACAGTTTTGGTTCGTTAATAGTTTTGGTTCGTTATCAATAGTTTTGGTGATTTTTACCTCTGTTAGGCCCTGCTCTCTCTGTTGCAGAGTTTACAGGGGTGTTCCGTTACCTGCTGAGGAAATTCCCTGAGCTTTGTCCAGCAGGAAGCCTCGTCTGGTCAGGAGAGGAGAGAAGAACTGAGGGAAGGGAGGTTGGGTGTGACAGGGCTGCTGGAGCACGTGGGATGTGCTGTGAGGAGATGAATAAAGTCACCCAGAGCTCCCTGAACCATCCCCTGCTCTAAACCAGCCCCAGCTGAAGCTCTAAACCTGCACCCACCTGAAGGCTCCGGGGAATTGGGTGTGCAGGTATTGCTGGAGCATCTGCTCAGGGCTCTCACAGCTGTGCAGGGGGGAGCTGGGCTGGCCCAGGCAGCTGCTGCAAAGGAAATTCAGCGTTTCCCAGCCCGAAACCATCCACGCCTCAGCTGCTTTTTAGGAGTTTTGCTCTAAAATTAGTAGCACTCAAGTAGACTGCTCCTCCCTTCGGCTGCCTCTCGGAACGGAGGGAGCCTGGATTCCTCCCGGGGAGGAAGCGCAGCTCAGATGCTGAATTTACCTGGTGGCTTTTTTCTCTTGGCAAATTCCTCGTAGTACAACAGACTGAGCAAAACAGCAGCTGCCCTTTTGCTCCTTCCACGAGGACAGAAGCTTCCAGGGCACGTCCTGGTGGGCACTTAAAATATCAGGGAGCGAGGAGCCCGACGGGGCAGGGAAGGGAAGAGCTGCCCACGCTGCCACAACCTGGATGGGGTGACAGAGCAGAGGCTGGAGCAGGCTCCTGGCACAGCTGGAGCACAGCTGGAAGGCGTCCTCACCTTCCTCCCAGAGAAGGTGAGGGAGTCAGCAAAGTGCAGCATGGAGCCCTGGGAGGAGCAGAGCCTGTAGGGAGCTGTGAAGGTGTCCAGGGCTGCTGCCAAAATGGAGCTGCTGTGGTAGTTCAGGGATGCCTGGGGAGGAGGCAAATGCAGGAGTCACAGGCCAGGTCACAGTCAGCCCTTCCTTAACCCAGTTTTGTGTATTTAACTTAAGTGGTGCCTTTAAAAGAGGTGGTTTGCAGTTATTTGAGGGTTGGGATAAGCAGCCAGTGTGTATCTGTAGTTCCAGCCCAGCTGTTTGCTAACTTTGGTGCCAGTTTCCTTATCTTTTTTGGCTCCTTAGTGAAGCTGGAGTTACTCCAAGCAAGGAGAATAACAGAAAAGCCTTTTCAGTGCCAACACTGCAGGCAGCACCCCACCAGAAAACACAACGGGCCAAGGAAATGCCTTAATATTTCCAAAAGTGGGAAGAAAACCACAGAAATTAAGCAGGGGAAAGTCTCTGCTGAGCAGAAACAGCACCACGAAAAACCACCCAGCCACAGGAAACACTTTGAGAGGGGTAAAGCTGCAGGAGCTCGTGGTGGGTGATGCCAGGCCAGGACTCACGTTGTAGTTGATGTATGGAAAGGTCACAGGAGGTTCTGGCTTGATTCCCAAAGTGCCACTGAGTGACAGGGGACAGAAGAGAGAGCTGTGACGGGAGAGGTGGGCAATGCCCAGGGCCGTGTTCATCAGTCTGCAAAAACTCTTCTGGGGGTCCTGGGGGGATGAAAATCCAACCATTGGAATGAAAATCCAACCATTGGATAAAAATCCAACCATTGGATAAAGATCCAACTATTGGGATAAAAATCCAACCATTGGATAAAAATCCAACCATTGGGATGAAAATCCAACCATTGGGATGAAAATCCAACCATTGGGATGAAAATCCAACCATTGGATAGAAATCCAACCATTGGATAGAAATCCAACCATTGGATAGAAATCCAACCATTGGATAGAAATCCAACCACAGATAAAAATCCAACCATTGGGATAAAAATCCAAGCACTGGGATAAAAATCCAACCGTTGGATAAAAATCCAACAATTAGATAAAAATCCAACAATTAGATAAAAATCCAACCACTGGGACCTCGAGGAGCAGACAAGAGCCTGTCAAAGGCAGGCTGGGCACCTTTCTTGGCTCTCCCCATGATAAAAATCCAACCGTTGGATAAAAACCCAACCATGGGATAAAAATCCAACCACTGGAGCCTCGAGGAACAGACAAGAGCCTGTCAAAGGCAGGCTGGGCACCTTTCTTGGCTCTCCCCATGCTTTACTCACTCCCACAGGACTCAGGGCTGGAGTCAGGCCCCAGGTCAGGATCCCTTTCCGTGAATATTCATCCTGGAGCAGCTCTGTCACCTTGGCACCGACTCCAGAGAAGCCATCGTGAAGGTCACAGAGGACCTGAAAGCCCTGTGGGAAACAAGGGCAGCAGCTCGGATTCTGCTTCAGCTGGAGCAGAACGTTTCTGGGAGGCCAAGGGAGCCTGGAGAAGGTGTGAACCTGGAGGTAATCACACTCCTCCACGAAGAAATGCAGCCGATCTTCCAGCTCCTCCACACAGGCAGAGTCCTGCAGGAGACTTTCACCTTGCCCGAAGGCTCCGAGGCACCCACAATCCCTAAGGGGAAAAAGGGGTGAAGAGGGGTTGTTTGATCCCTTTTATTCCCTCCTGAAGGCAGAACTCGGGTTCTTTTTTGGGTTCTGGGCCGTACCCGTCGTGCAGGTACTGCCGGATCACGTAGACGCTCTTGGGGTGCAGCTGCACGTTGAGGTAGTCGGACCAGAGCCTCAGCGAGGGAGGCTCCTGGGAGCCCGCGGGAGCTGCAGGGAGGCCAGGGAGAGCAAAGCTCTTGGAGCTCTGAGCATCCCGTGGATGCAGGATCAGTTATCTGGCATGTTCTGAGCATCCCCCATCTGCTCCGAGCATCCTCCTAAATGTAAAATCTGAGAATCCCCCATCTGCTCTGAGCATCCCCATAAATGTAAAATCAGTTATCTGACACGCTCTGAGCATCCCCATAAATGTAAAATCAGCTTTCTGACACGCTCTGAGCATCCCTGTGGGTGCAAAATCAGTTTTCTGACATGGTCTGAGCATCCCCATAAATGTAAAATCAGTTTTCTGACATGGTCTGAGCATCCCCATAAATGTAAAATCAATTTTCTAACATGCTCTGAGCATCCCCAATCTGCTCTGAGTATCCCCATAAATATAAAATCAGTTTTCCAACATGCTCCAAGCATCCCCATAAATGTAAAATCAGTTTTCTAACATGCTCCAAGCATCCCCCTAAATGTAAAATCAGTTTTCTGACATGCTCTGAGCATCCCCATGGATGTAAAATCAGTTTTCTGACATGCTCTGAGCATCCCTGTGAATGTAAAATCAGTTTTCTGACATGCTCTGAGCATCCCTGTGAATGTAAAATCAGTTTTCTGACATGCTCTGAGCATCCCCATAAATGTAAAATCAGTTTTCCAACATGCTCTGAGCATCCCCATAAATTCAAAATCAGTTTTCTAACATGCTCCGAGCATCCCTGTGAATGTAAAATCAGTTTTCTGACATGCTCCGAGCATCCCCACGGATGTAAAATCACTTTTTAGCGTATCCACTCTTTCAGCTTGTCCGTTTTTGGCCCATCGCTGCTGGCCCGGCTCTCCGGCCCAGCGCCCCCGTTATCCCGCGGGGGTTCCGCCCGCCCGGCCCGCGCACGAACCTGGCCCCGCAGCGCCGGGGTTCCCCTTCCCGCCGCCGTCTCCCTGCGGGAACAATCCCGTTACCGGGGCGCTCCGCCCGTCCCCGCCCGCGCCCCGGGCACGGAGCCGCGGCCGCGCTCACCCCGCGGCTCCCGGCGCTCCCGGCGTCCCCCGGCGCGCGCTCCCGGTAATCGGCGACGGCGCCGTCCCTGCGGCACAGAGCGGCGGCAGCTGCGGGGACGGCGGCGGGAGGAGATCCCGCCCGGTCCGGCCCGGTCCGGTCCGGTCCCGCCCGGTCCGGTCCCGGTCCCGGTCCGGTCCCGCACTCACCAGGTCACCGGCGGCTCATCGCCCGCCCCGGCGGCTCCCAGCGCTCCCACGCCGCCTGCAACACAGCCCGGTCACGGCGGGGCCGCCCGGTATACGGTAGCCGATAACAGTACACCATACCAGGGAGCGGTACCCGGTAGCGGTACCTGGTTAGCAGTACCCGGTAGAGGTACCGGTACCCGGTAGCAGTACCCGGTAATGGTACCCGGTAGCAGTGCCCGGTAGCGGTGCCCGACAGCGATACCCGGTATCAGTACCCGGTACCCGGTAGCAGTACCTGGTAGTGGTACCCGGTACCTGATAGCGGTACCCGGTAGCAGTACCCGGTACTCGGTAGCGGTACCCGGTAGGGGTATCCGGTACCTGGTACCCAGTACTCGGTAGCAGTACCCGGTACGCGGTAATGGCACCCGGTAGCGGTACCCGGTACTCGGTAGCGGTACCCGGTAATGGCACCGCGGTACCCGGTACCGGTCCCCACCCACCCAGCCGTCCCGCGGTACCTTTCAGCTCCAGCGCCACCAGCCGCGGCGCGGGGCTCTCGGTGCCGCCGGGGCCGCGGCCGAACCGGAGCAGCGCGGCCGCGCGGAGCTCGGCGGGCTCGGTGGGGCCGCGCAGCGCGGCGGCCTGCGGGGAACGGGGCCGGGAGATCAGAGCCAGCCCCGGCCCCGGCCCCGGCCGAGCCCGGCCCCCGCCCGGCCCCGATCCCGGTCCCGGTCCCGATCCCCGTCCGGTCCCCGCCCGGTCCCGGTCCCCGCCCGAGCCCGGTCCCCGCCCGGCCCCGGTCCCGGTCCCGGTCCCCGCCCGGTCCCGGTCCCCGCCCGGTCCCGGTCCCCGCCCGAGCCCGATCCCCGTCCGGTCCCGGTCCCGGTCCCCGCCCGGTCCCGGCCCCGATCCCCTCCCGGTCCCGATCCCCGCCCGGTCCCGGTCCCGGCCCCCTCCCGGTCCCGGTCCCGGCCCCCTCCCGGTCCCGGTCCCGGTCCCGGTCCCCGCCCGGTCCCGCAGCCTCCCCGCACCTGCAGCCCCCACCAGTGCGCGCCCACGCAGCCCGAGTAGTGGCCGAGCTGCAGCGTGACCGCCTCCCCCGGCATCGCCCCCGCAGGAACCGGGAGCGCGTCACGGCCGGGCCCGCCCCGGACGGGCGGGGCCGGCGGCGGGGCCGGGCCCGCCCGCGGGACGCGGAGCCGAGAGCGGGGGAACGGAGCGTTTATTGCGCTACAGGGGCCCCGCCAGCCGCTCCAGCTGCCGCGGGTTGGAGCCGCTCAGGAACCGCAGCTCCGCCTTGCCGTCCTCAGTGCGCGCTGCGAGAGAGGGAGAGGGAGATGGAGGGGCTGAGGGAGATGGAGGGGATGGGAGAGATGGAGGGGATGGGGAGAGATGGAGGGGATGGGGGAGATGGAGGGGATGGGGGAGATGGAGGGGATGGGGAGGGATGGAGGGGATGGGG